ATTGCACTAGTATTAATTAACTAACCAATCAATATGCGTCTCCTAGAAAATAAACAAATATAAAAATCTCTTTATTCGTCTATCATCGCCAGGTTTTTAATAAAGAATTATTTGCACTTCAAAGAATGTAAATAATAAAAGCTGAGCTCCAATTTTGCTGTATTTGATAAAACAACTGGGGGAACTTCAATAATCGCACTCATCCCTCCAAGCGAATAGAATGAACAAACAAACAAATTAAAATAGTTGAGATTACATTCATTCTATATACACTTTTGTTAATCAAAAAGTAAAAAAATATTTACGAAACATTGTTACCGTCTCAATATTAATCGTTACATTTTCAGCAGAAATACATTTTCATTTAATATTGAGATGTAAATACAACTTTTTTTATATTTTACTTTTAAAATAAGTAATGACTCTATTAACTATGTGTACAATGTATCGAATGAATATGGACAATACTGTTAAGACTTGTTCTTATCATTAAACTTTGTTGGTAGTTTTTAAAGATTTATAAAATAGTTTACTATCTTCATTTCTTTGTTTTATTATCAATAGTGTACTTTAAATACTTTTTTTTAAATTACCCATAAAATGTTACCGTAGAAGTATTCTTTAATGTAAAAGATTTTATAAATTTAAATAAAACCGTCTACACGGAAACCTAAATAAATTAATAATAAACTACACATTTTCTTATTTTTCTAGAACGATTTACTTAATATAACAATTTATTTGAATTCATCTCAAAATCATAATTACAAATTAACCCTCCTTTGTTTGCAAAGGGTTGTAACAAAGGAGTTGTTTCACTATACTCAATTCACTAAAATTCTTTATTTAGTGCTCTACTTCATCAGTTCATTAGAAGTCCCCGCTTTGTTTATTTAAATAGGGTTCGAACTTTTAAATTCAATTTTGTTTTCAGCGATTCAGTTCCAAAAATGTTGAATAAATTGGTATTTACTCTGCAATGTTTTGTATATAATAACAAAATTCTAAATTCACAAAATATAAATTACGAAATTAAACAGTCATTACGAAAATACGCCTGTATTAATGAATATAATTCAGAATAGACTGGAAAATCCGGTTCAAATACTAATATAATTAAATTAATGTATGTATTCAATATTATATTTAATTTTATAGACAATTAAATACTTCCTGTCACAGAATTATGAATTATGATATACGATTTAAGACTGTACTTGAGGTTAAACAATACCTTTAAGTGTGTTACCTATTAATTTTAATATACATACTTACTTAATTGATTATAAAATAATGATTCCGTTAAAAAGTTATCAAATACATATATGTATATTAAGAAGTGCAGTTTTTTTTGACTCAGTGTTTAGTTCACCAAAATCAAATGTATTTTATAATATAATAAGGCTAATGAGATCTAAGACTTTCGCGAATATTCATTTAAATTAAACTAATATTAATCGGATTACTATGCGTATTTTATGATTTTAAAAGACAACAATTCTGTCATTTCAGTTACTTTTCAGCAACCGTAATCACGGGCAGACAAGATGTTTTTTAAATAGTAAAATATGAGTTGCAAAATATAAATTAAAATTGAGATTAGTAATATATAGTTACGATTACTTTATTGCATATTATAATATTCATAGAATTAAATAATCTATTTACGAGTATCATCGGTAGAATTCAAATTTACAAAGAAGTAAAAACACATCGAACAATAATAGTAAATCTCAATAATAGTTTCCAAAGTAAGCATTTTATTTAAATAATATACACATAAAAATACCGGACAAGTAAGATTCGGGTTCGCCCATCCAAGGTTATATATGTACATAGTTATTGGATCCTTACTACACTTGTATTATAAGATGGTATTAATTACCATATTTTTCTCTTAGTCAACGGAAAACACTACACAAATTTGTATTCTATTCAATTGAAATATAAGTATTTTGTACGATAAGCGGTAGTTTTTTTTTCATATACCTGAGTATATCGATTTAACTTTATTCAATGAGTTATCTAGAAAAACAGTTACACAGACGGACGGATAAGAAAGTAAGGTGACCTTTTTCATTTTATCGTATGGAATCCTAAAAAGGTACACTTACTTACTTACTTACTTGTGTACAGCTGATACGATCGTGTTTAATAATAAACAAAATTTCAATACTATACACTTTGTTATTTAACTTCATAGTTATTGAGAGCAAGATGAAAAATATATTACAAGATATTTTACAATTTCCGAGTGTCATTTAGAAATATATTTTAATGACTTAGAGACTAAGAAATGTTTCAATCATTGTTTATATTAAACTATGTACTTTTGTATAGAAATCCATCAGTAAAGTCTTCGAGCTACTCATTGGCTCGTTGGTCTAGGGGTATGATTTTCGCTTAGGGTGCGAGAGGTCCCAGGTTTAAATCCCGGACGAGCCTAGATATTTTAGATATTTCGATTGAATAAGGAAGTTAAATATAGACATTATATATTTATTTGTATGAATATTTTATTCTACAGTCATAAGCAAAAGATAATTTAGAAGCCGGTCATTGAAGCGTAGCAATGTCACAAAACATTACTTCCGGAAGGAAAGTTTATAACCAACAAAACATGACATCCTTTAAACAAAATAGACTTGTTATTTTCTATAATATACTTAATATGTATTCTTTACTTTTAAAACCTGTAGGAGTCTTTAAAATAATAAAATATTAAGTTAACTGTTAATCAAAAATGTTTTAAATGGTTTAAAATGATTTTCAAGTTTGAAGAAAGATATTTGTGATGTCAAAAGAGACATAGAAAATATGAAAAGTAGAAGTAAGTTACAAGTAAAATTTTTACAATTACATACTATTGCCTAACAATGATCTTTTATGCAAATAGGTAGAAAATTGTTGGATACTTTTCATTTCAAGATCCATAATTTTATTTCCGCAAAATAACGTGTTAAAAAGACAGGTAAAATTAAGTCTAACCTCATTAACCTCAAGATAAGGTTAGTGAATTCTGGGTACATTCAGAAGAGTATGCGGGAAAATTGACAAATCGTTTAAGGCAAGTTTAATATTATTTAGGGCCGTCTATATTTTTATTTTTATTATTAGTATACACAATTTCCATTGTTTCCTATCAATAAAATTGTTATAATGGTAATATTTATAGAGAAAAAGTATAAACAATTTGTCACTTTTTTGCTAGACAAAGCACATGCAAAGCTGATACATCTATGATATTAATTTTATCTTCTGTCATCTCTTTTCTTGTAATAACTTATGCCAGTCACATTTTAGTAACACGTGGTCACCTAAAAGTATCACAGTTGGGTATCTGTTTCAAAGACTTTTAAATAATAAAACTGACTGACAAAGACCTTCATATCATCTAACCGAAATGTTGGGTAAAATTTGAAATAATAAATTACGTTGTATATCTCAAATATTGTCATGGATAGATGAATCTATTATTTATTATAACAGAGTTGACAATATGTATACAAATACAAAGAACAGTCCTTACTGTTAAATAGTGTTGTACTTTTTATAGATGAAGTAATAGTGAAAATTTGGATATATAAGTTTCAGAATCACCTTACACTGCTCTTGTATCGGTACCATAGTATATCCTTAGTAAAGCAATAAAATGCTACAAGTAAACTGAACAGAAAATAGCTTGTAAGTTTTCTTAGCTTATTAATAAGCTCATATAAAGAAGGAGTATGAAAGTAGCAGTATCTTGACATAAAATTTTATTTATCCTAATTAAAGTTTAAGATAATATTATAATTTATATATATTACATCATATAGACAGACTTTTGAATAGTTTCTATTAATATACACTATTTAATTCCACCTCGTCTTTAAATTCAATTCAAGATGTTTTAAGCATCTCTCACAGATTTTACGTTCAAATACATTTAAATAATAAAAAAAATATTGATACCAAATATACAAAAGAGAAAATATTTTATATTCGATAAAAATACAAGCGACGACTCACAAAAGGAATTCTATTTTCATGGATTCCATTAGAGAGAAATAAATAAAATATTTTGTACAAATTCTGAACTTACGATTGATGAAGAAAGATTGAATACGATTGATATAGTTTTGGAAGTTTTGGAACTTACAGTACCCGTATAGATAAAACAATAGTGAGTTTATTGTATGTTCAAAATATCAGAAAAATCATATTATAAAGCCAGCTTAGGTATTTCCCATTTAATCTAAAAAGAACATTTTCTGTATTAAATAATGTACTGTACTTATTTATTTCATACAACCTAATTTATTTATAAATTCGGCATTAAATGAAATGATCTAATAAACTGGCAAGTCCACAGTATCGAGACCTAATTTCCTCTAAATTCCTGACCGCAATAAAAACACGTAGCACGTGAACCGAAAAAACCTAAAAAACGAAGGGGATGATGTATCTTTTCAGCAAATACAATTTTATTACAAATATTTTATGGCGTCGAGAATTCATGCGTCTATTAAAATTTTACTGCCTTCCCTTGTATCGTGAAGTATAAAACGCACCATGCGTGGTAAAGGGACGCAAAATTTTTTTTATTGATACAATATTTTTCATGAATTTGCAATTCAGCTACATTCGTAGTCTTTAATTGGGAGATTTCTCGTCCCATCGTAAATACTCTGTGAGCACAAATTACAAACAGATGTTAAAGAAGAAAATATATTAAATTCATGTGTATTTATCGGAGACATTTAAAGTGTTTCTGTTATTTAAAATAGAATAAAACTTTATTTATTGTCATATATTCAGCTTAAAGCATAAAATTTATCATTATAATAGTCTATATTTTTGTGACTTGTTGGAGTATTAACGGTTATAAATTATTAAAGGTCATAAATTATTACCAGTTCGGCTGCGGGTTTATTATCTTTATACAATACATTAACATTTACGTTTTTATCCACAGCTTCCGAAACATTGGTTCCGTTTTTTGTAAATATTTTCCGAGTTTAACCCTCCACATTTGACAGACGATAAATGTTACGCTATAAAAACTTTTTAAGTGCATTCTGATTCTTTGAACTTATATTATATTAATTTATATAAAAAAAACGTGTATAGTTGGAAATAAAATATAAGAAAAGTGATAGTAATACTCACCAAATAATAAACTCCGAATGGCATAACGACGACAGCAACAAGTAAATCGGCGACCGCTAAACTCACTATAAAGTAATTCGTCACAGTTTGCAATGTCCTCTCTCTTACTACACTCATGATCACAAGTACATTGCCGAACAGAGTAAAAAATGGAAATATTAACAGCAACAACGCCCAAAAGTTATATTCCGGAGTTACATCGTCTCTGCTGAAACAGGATATGTTGAAGGTACCATTAAAAGTACAGTTTGTATACACATCGTTCAGTATGTCTAACGTCTGGTTGTGTACACTAAAAAAGTCGTGGCTCGCATTCCCATAGAAATAATCACTAAAATCATCAACTAACATTAACAAATCACCAGTTTCTTTGGTTTCATTTTTTATATAACTAGTATTTAATGTCCCTTTTGAAGTCAATATCTTCGCTTCCTGACTATCTGGAGGTCGTTTGGAAGGATAAAGATATGTTTGACTACGTGCGTTGTAGTAGTATGGTACTTTTCTTATATCTACCATCGTTAAAACTTTGTACTACGTTACATTGCTTTCGTAAAGACAAAGGTTAGACATCTTCCAAAGTTTGAGGATTTATTCAGGTTCACATGATACTTTATTGAGCATTCTCGAGTTGTTACCTAGAACAAAAGAAAAAAGATTTAAAATAAATACTTAATTCTTAAACTAGTACATCTCTCTTTTTGTAATACGCATGTTTATTCACATTATGAAATGATAAGGTCAATAACTTTTACAATAGATTGCCGGAATTCATATTCATTTATTATATAAGACTAAATCAAATCAAAAACATTTAAAGATAAAAGAACAAACTTATTGTCTAAATACCTCTCACCTCTTAGATGCGATTCATTAGCTTTCCATTATTACAGTTTTTAAGGTCATCAATCATGATAAATTCTTATAAAATCACAAAAAAATCTCAAAACATCAATCAAATTGAAGCGTTTTGATTATCAATTTCATGTGATTGATGGTAGAACAAGGAAATAAATCAAGAATAAAAACTTTGAAATATAATGATTTCTAATATTAAGGCCATTTTGAATTCCTGATGATTTATTATACTTTTTGATTTCATATAAATACTCGTACTTGTCATATATTCTCTTGTCGAACCTGATGATATAGAAGGCTCGTATCTTCAAAGTAATCCTAAGTTATGGGTCCAAATTGTTGTGAAGATGCTTCGTTTTACAATCTCGACACGTTTGGTCCGAAAATGGGTAATTGCTTTTCTTTGTGGTATGTTAAGTGGGTCCCCGATTTTGAAAGCCGGGAAAATTGGGGCATCTGATTAATATTAAGTTAATGATAATAAAAAATGGATTAGTTCTATTATAAAAAATGTTCTATCCCAAATAAGATTATTTCCAACCCTCATATAAATTCTTGAAAATCCCCAGTATAATTTTTTATCCAAAAAAGTTTCAAACTTTATTAACCCGTCAATAAAGTTAATTAACTGTCAATTAGGAAATATCAAAAATGAAGCGCTTTAAATGTAATTAAATGATGCTTTTTTCTACTGAAATGTTTATTAATCCATCAAGATAGGCTTGTTGCTATGTACCTAATAATTAATTCTATAATATAGGATAAATCTAAAAAATACAAAAGACCTTATTGTTTAGTTTTATTCATCCGTTTAGAGTTGAAACAAGATAATTTTATTTTCAAGTTCACCTGTCCCAAAACCCTGAGGATAATCTTCTAAGTAGTCCAGACGCTTTAACCACCATCACGTCAAAAAAATTTGAGCAAAAAATTAATGTTAGTAACTCTTTATATCATTAATATTTATACTTGAAAGGTTATTTAATGTGACATGCGCTAACAGCGTCGATCCATCATTGAAGTAGGGTTAGGAACTGATCCATTAGGGAGCAAAGCGATAAGAGAAAGTTATTATATCGAATAGAAACACCGAGATCGTACTTCACAGATTCATGGATCTAATGTTTAATTACTTACTATACATAAGTGTATATTAAAGGAAGAGTTATATAGTACACTTTATAGTTACATTTTCATCATCATGTATGCTCGTAATGACAATATGAAAATGAAAGAACACGGGTACAACTTCAGAACAGCTCTCTAAATAGTGAAATATTGTAATTTGTGTTTAAGTTTTGTTGATTAAAATAGAAGAGAAACGTCAAATATTTTAAAGTTTAGATAGGTTTTGTAAAGAATCTCTTTATGATTATGCATACATATGTATAGTTTTTGAGTGTTCTGTCTGCAAAGTAGTTTTTTTTTACATTTTGAATATACATACTTTATATACATACATTATATATATGTATAAGTTTTTTCCTTAGGTTCTCTGAAAGATATCCTTTATAATCTTTTAAAATGCATTCCGTGTCCATTCTAAGTATGAACAGAATAATTGTTTAAAATTCTACTGGTTCCATATTATTTATAATAATTGTATCGCTTATGTACACATGGTTAGATCTATATACGAGCAGAGTTACCGCAATCGTTGTAAGATTTTCGAAAGGCATCCAGAATAATAAAAGTTTGAAGCCCACTGCCGTCAGCAGAAATTTGGCAAGTTAGGAGTTTATGAGTAAGAAACGTCAGCCAATGTTTCTTGACTGGCACATTAAGAAGTCTCTTACCAGGTTGTATATATTCAAAGCTATTAAATTTTCATAGTAGCTGCAAATAGTTTGGATCTGTGATAATAATTTTAAAAAAAAACATTTAGAAAAGTATAGAAATATAAAAATTAACATTTGTCTTCCTCTCCTCGCTTGATTACCGGGAAAATAAAAAAATCTGTACACAAAAAACTGTCAACAAATATAGGTAACAAATATTTTGCTCTTACATTATTTGAGTAAGCAACCCTCGTAGTCTCTTTTAGGATATACAAAATATAATACTTGTAAAAAACAAACCAGCAAATATTGATTTTTTGGTGTGTATACCAGTGGTAATATTACGTTTTCTAAATCAGCTTAAAATATCATTCAGTATATTTGTCACATACATGTCAAATTCTCATCACATTTGTGTAATCGGCAAACAAAGCTACAGTATACATCAGATAATTACACAAATTACAATGTATATCCAACGACTCGTCTGAAATTAGTGATGTCAAGAAGTAAAATGAGATAAAGATTTATTTTCTCACTATTTAAAATTAAAATTGTTCTCAGATATAATAATAAATGGGTGCTTTTATATTCAAGACATTTACATACATATATATTTTATATACAAGAATAATTTTCGGTGGGTTTCTATTAATATATTCTTTTTATATAAAACCAGAGCTCCTACAATTGATTCTGGAATATGTGTTGTGTCACGATCTCATGATAAATGTCCCGCCTGGTTTATTTTTCTGCTAATCTTTTATCTTATGAAGATTTATATAATGTTATAAATTGTTGATTTGGGAGAAAATAATAAATTAATAACTTAGTTCATGTTTTATATTTCTTAAGTTTTGTTAATTAAGCCTGATCTTAGTCTAAGTTATAAATTATTAGTCAGACGAAAGTAACCTTACTTTAAATTATATATTATATAAACATACATATGTTTAAACCCGTGTCTTTGTAGCTGAATTCTCTACGAGTCTTTAGAACATCAAAGTGAAATGCTAAGCCCACATAATAATTTAATTTACTTTTAGGAATAAAAATTTAAGGTTTAATTTTATTCAATTTTATTACTAAAATTATTTTTGTTGGGTATAAAAGTATTATTATTTTGAAAGTGACTTATACATATGTATAAACTATTTTTCATAAATATTCTTGTCTTTAACCTTAGGAAATATTGTAGAAAATGTAATAATTAAAATAAATATGAATTTTACGTGTACATTTTGACAATTCTTTTTACAAACATATTTTTATGTATATATACTTATATACATTAAATTTTCTTATAAAAATGCTTAATTTAATTTGTAAATACTTCTACTTCTAAAATTATTGTAGGTTTTATGCATTTAATATTAATAAACAACAAAAAATTCACATGACATAAACAAACTCTCCCTAATTTTTGTAATATTCAACTCTATTCTTTTTCTCGAGAGAATTATCTAGATACAGCCACGAGAAAAGTGAAAGAAAATATTTGAAAGAAGTTAATTTTGAAATTTCAAATTGTCGAGTGACTAAGACAATATCGTCGTTAAATCTCATGGGGTGCTTTATAACCTTTTCACAGTTGCAAGTATTTTAATTTATGAGATGTTTTTTTTTACAAAGGATATTTTTTCTGTGTCCAATGCGTATTTTATTTCGCAGAAAAATTCAACATTGAACATTGTTTTTCCATTTCTACATAACAGAGGACGTGATTTAAATTTTCAGCATGCTGATCATAAGTAAATGCATATCTGGGTACTTTCAACGTCCCTTTCTTCCAGAAGAGTAGAAACAGCTAGCAACAGGGTTCCAGAGCTACCGGTGCTCCGCTGGTAATATTTTACCTTTTCAAGACTTTTCGAATTCAGCGTTAACTCTAAGTATAGAATACTAAGAGCTTCGTTTTAAGTATTTTTTCTGTAGATCTATAAATTGTCGACAGGCCTTTACTTTAGTCCAAAGCTTGGAAGGTCTGTCTATGGATATGAGCAAGGTTTCACAAAAAATTTATAATATCTATCTCCATTTTAAAGAATAACATAGACAGTAAACCGTTTACTCTCGCTTTCCAATAATTAATCCGTGAGTATTACTAACAATTGTTTTGCCTCGTTGTAAATAAAATCCAAACTCATTTTCATTTTTAATATATCAATAATTATTATAAGTAAACAAAAATCATTTATATATATCATATAAATACATAATTACATTAAAACAAGGGTACATCCCGGAGGGAATTAATTTTGTCTCGTCTTAATTGAATCGTAATTAATGATTCTCCTGACAGATGTTGCCTTCACGTTACAAGTTAAGTATGTTACATTGGATCTGTATGATGTCGAGGTGTGATTATTATGAAATAAGTAAATAAACATAATGAATATTTTTATTGTAAAAGTTTTTTTTTTATTGTAAAAGATATTAAGTGGGTGATGTTAGTACAAATTTGTTTCTATAAAGCTGTAATCTTTTGATCTTAAATATAAACTTTTTTTGATATAAATAAATAAATGTAAAAATCTGTGAAAAATCTTTTATGTATAGCCTACATGAGTATACAAATGTTATTAGAGTGAAACAGACACCTACCATTGTGATTATGGCTTAATTATGATTTACTAATCATGTTCGGTTATACTTCGAATAATGAGCAATTATTGTTGTGTGTTATTGGAATAATGGAAATGATCCGATGATAGTTTTAATTGATTACAATGTTCATAAATAAAGAACACAAAAACTTAAATATATTCGATCTCCTAAAAATTTAAATGAACTTTCTTTGTATTCTGACAGTTTACATATTGAACTAAAACTTAATGTAACTTTTTATGGTAAATAATTATATCGGTCGGTCTACAAACTATT